TTTCAAACATATACAAAAATAGAGACTGGTTTAATGAACCTCACGCACTGATCACCCAGCTTTAGCAATTATCAACTCACTGACAATTGTTTCATCCACCAACTCCCTCCCCAGATTTCACATAATCTCATCTTTATATACTACAGTGTATATTTCTAAAAGATAGGGATCTTTAAAAATAAACATAATGCCATTCTTATACATTAAAAATTAACAATACCTTAATATCAAGTATCAAACCATAATTCAAATTTCTCCAATTATCTCAATTTTTTTATTTAACAATTTGTTTGGATCAGAATTCAAACAAGGTCCACACATTACATTTGGTTAATTTGTCCCTTAGTCTCTTTCAATCTATAGGCTCCCTTTTCCTCTATTTTTTTTCTTGGAATTTATTTATGGATAGAACTGGGTCCTGAAGAATTTCCCACAGTCTGGATCTGGCAGTTTGCCTCTTTGTGGGGTCATTAACATGTTCCTCTGTCCCTGGATTTCTTACAAAGTAATGGTTAGACTCAGAGGCTCAGTCAGATTCAGGTACGATGTTTTGGGTGGACCTATCTCATAGTGGTGATGTGTGTTTCTTTTGTATCACGTCAGAAGACTGTCTCTCTCTTTTTGTGCTGCTGAAACTGGCTTATGGGAAATTCCTGTTCTGGATCAAAATGCAGTAGTCCCCCCTCACTCTGGCTCTCCCACTGAATGCAGCTTTAAAAACCTGCATGGAATGCATGCAACAGCTATTGTTAGATTGTGAAAAGTAATTTGGAGCAGGTCAAATGGGGAAAAAGACCAAAATTTGAACTACCACCAAAATGGTGGGGAGTTTACCCATTTTTTTCCCCTCTTGGAGCCCTGGAAAACTAGAAAGAACCAGAGAGATTGACAGGAGAGAGAAGCTTCAGAAAGCCACCCCATAAGGTTGTTTATGAACTCCTGGGGTGACCTGCAGCTGCACATGCAGGGACCTGGTCCTCATCAACACATCAAAGACGTTGTGAACTGAACTCACAGATTCACCACTGGGAGATGCATATGCAGGACTGATCCAAACAGCACCGCAAAAACAGTCTGAAAATGACTGCAAACACAGCCCACAGCCGGCTGGCAGAAGCCTGTGGGCTGACCCAACTGGGAAATTTGCCTACTAAAACAAAAATACAAGCATTCTCCCCAGGATTTAAATAAGACCCAGAGTGTCATCCACAATAACCAAAATATCCAGAATATAACCCGAAACTACCTGCAAATGAAGAACCAGGAAAATCTCAACTCCCATGGGTTAAGACAGTCAACAGATACCAACACCAAGATGACATAGATGTTGGAATTATGTGACAAGGATTTTAAAACAGCTATTACACAAATACTCTAACAAGTAATTATAAATACTCTTGAAACAAATGGAAAAACAGAAAGTCTCAGCAAAGAAACAGAAGATACAAAGAAAAACCAAAAGAACATTTTAGGACTGAAAGATACAGTAACTGAAATTAAAACAAAACGAAACAGTGATGGGCTTAAAAGTGATTAGAAGTGACAGAGGAAAGAGTAAGGAAACTTGATGATAAATTAATAAACTGTCCCATCTGAGCAATAAAAAGAAAAGAGGCATGATTAAAAATGAACAGAGCCTCAGGAACCTGTGGGACAACAACAACAACAAAAATCTAACATTGTTGTCATTCGAATCCCATAAGGAAAGGGAAAAGAGTGCAGTACTTTAAAAATATTTGAAGAAACAATAGCTGGAAATGTATTAAGTATGGCAAAAGACAAAAACCTACAGATTCAAATAGCTCCAGGAATCCTAAAAAGGATAAACTCAAAGAAATCCCCACCCAAGCACACTGAGATCTAAATGCTTAAAACTAAAGAAAGAAAGAAAGAAAAAAAAAAACACTTCAAAGCAGCTAAAGGAAAATGATGCATAATCTATGAGGAAACAATTTGAATGGCTGCAAATTTCTCTTCAGAAATCATAGAAGCCAGAAGGAAGTGGCATATTTAAAGAGCTTAGAGGAAAGAACTATCAACCCAGAATTCTATACACAGTAAAAATATCCTTCAGGAACGATGGTGAAATAAAGACATTTTCAGATGAAGGAAAGCTAAGATAATTTATTGCCAGCAGACCTTCCTTGAAAGAATTGCTAAAGGAAGTTCTTCAGACAAAAGGGAAATGATGGGAGACTTGCAACAATAGGAGTGAAGAAAGAGCAACCAACATGGTAAATATCTGAGTAATAGAACATTCTTCTCCTCTGGGATCCTTTAAAATATATATGAATATTTAAAGCAAAAATTAAAACATCAATGGGGTTGCTAATGTACATAGATATACTATATAAGACAACTATTCTATAAAGAAACCTGTAGAGTGGCAAGATTTCTTCATTCCACTGGAAGTGATACAATATTGATTTGAAGCTGTCTGTGAAAAGATTGACTAGTGGCTTTAGACGTTTTCAGCCTAATCCATCCATTATAAAGATCCCCATCAATTTTTTACCTAATGGTTTTAGCAGCCATTGATGATCATTACCTAGAACTATTCTTCATTAGGGTATTTATAAAACAAAGATACTCCAATTCTCCCGTTCTTCTATTAGCTGATATTCTTCAATTAAGAAAAGAATGTTTCTAATTCAGCTATTTGATTACACTAAAGTACAATTCATATAGGAAAGGAAGGATAAATGTTTGATTCTTCATTTTATTTACTAGTTTTCAAAATAGAACCACTATTTATAAAACTGTTTTTAAAATTTCATTTATTTATTTATTGTTTTAGAAACAGGGTCTCGCTACGTTGCCCAGGCTGGCCTTGAACTTCTGAGCTCAAGCAATTTTCTGTCTAGCCTCCTGATTAGCTGGGACTAAGGAACGTACCACCAATACTTGGCTTCAGAATCACTGTTTTAAATGGTAGACAAACCAGAGGAAAATGTTGGCTTAATCCTTATTGACATAATTTGGAATGGATTTAATTTAGTCATTTAGAAAATTAAAGACCAATATCCAAACATTTAAATCACACAGGGTCTTTACGACAGGGAATATGTAGGATGGCATATTTAGAATGTACATACCATAATGTATTCGTTCCATTGCTTTTTATTATCATTGGATTATTCTCTCGTATGCATGTGTGTGTGTATATATGTGTGTGTGTAAATAAAATTTCTCCCTTAGATGATAAGATCCCCATGGACAGTAGGTAGCTGAGATCAAGCTAGTACACATATACTAAAGGACTAAATGAAATATAAACAAAGTTATATCCTTGCAGATCCAAAGCCAAAGGCAAACATCTTAGTAAATATGGTCTTCTTTTTAATCACTCACAGTGTTGTTTTAAACCACTTGTTTTTAAAATCAATTACTCTCTGCCAGCCACTACACTAACGACTTTTCAGATATTATTTCATCTAATTCTCACAATAACCCTGGGAAGCAGGCTCTCAGCACCCCCTGTGCAGAGACAAGGAACCACTACGTAAGGAGAGCAGGGAGCACGTCCGGCTCAGGCTTCATTAGGGCAGAACACAAATCCAGCCCAGACTCCCTGGCTGCAGTCATTCCTATCGGTCAGGCCCCTATCCTGTTGGTGACAGGCATCCTCTCTGCTAAGGTGCGTTGTAGCCATTCTACTAATCTTACAACAAGAAAATGTTTAGGGCAGAGAAACCACTCTGTATGATGCTCTAGTGGTGGATACATGTCACTACACACTTGTCAAAACCCACAGAATGTTCAATACCAAGAGCGAACCTTAATGTAAACGACAGACTTCGAGTGACAATGTGTGTCAGTACAGGTTCATAAGCTGTAAGAAATGTACCCCTCTGGTGGGGAATGTTGATAATTGGGGAAGAGACTGTGCCTTCCCCCATTATGGGGGCTGGAGGGACATGGGGGAATCTCTGTACTTTCCTTTCAGTTTTGCTCTACCGAAAACTACTCTAAAAATAATGTCTGTAAATATATATATATATATATATATATACACACACACATCAACTTACACATTCACTTTCAAACTTACACATTCATTTTCTATGCACAGAAAATGAATGTGTAAGTTTGATCAGAGCTGATGATAGTTACAAAAGCTCAAGTCATCTAAACATTGAGGGGAAAGGAATGAAGAAGAAACAGTGATCAGAGTGACCAGCTACAAAACAAAGCAACTTGCTGGGAGAGCTGGAACAGTATTAAAGCAGGGAAGAGACACTTGAAGGTGGCTGAGGCTGCTGTATGTGAAGTCCCTGTGGAAACAGGGATGCTGGAAAGAAAGAGTCTGCACCCAGGCCAAGGAGTAGTTAAGCTCAACAGCAAGACTGCTAAGAGTCCAGGTGGGAAAGAATGGACATGAGAGTGTGTGTGTGTGAGTGTGCGTATACTCTGATACTATGGGATGGTATGCAGCAGGTAAAACAAATCAAGGCAGTCACAAATAAGACTTTATCTATATTACATGGACCTTTTTTCTAAGAATATATTCTTATAATATGTATATATTATATATTATATATTAATATAAACACTTTTTTAAAAAGAGCTCAAAGTAAGAAGGAAACTAAGCAAGCACATAAACATGGTATTGAGTCAGAGTCGATCAGAAGAGAGTAGGAATGAAGCTAGGAATGCTCTGCCACTTACAAGCTACGTGATCCCGGATGAGTCCATTTACCTCTCTAACTTGAACTCCCTTCTCTGTTGGCAGGGGATAACACACCTGCATTTTCAGAGCTGTTGTCAGAACTAGAAATAAAGTCTGCCTCGGGACCAGGGCTCTTAGCGGAGTCCCCAGTAAATGGCAGCTGAGCATTTGCAGATTTTCACAAGAAAGAAGTGGGAAAGAACAGAATCTGGGTGACAGAGAAACAGAGCCTCTGGGTTTGGGAAGGACAGAGATGAGAGTCGCCAATCTGGACAAGCTTGGCTGGCTGGCGAGAACAAGGGACAGCAGCATCTGGGTGGTTGGCACTTACTGCAGTTCTCCTCGTCGCTGCCGTCGGGACAGTCCTCAAACCCATTGCATCGGAAGCGACCGATGATGCAGTGGATGCCGCTGGCGCAGGGGAAGAATGTCGGGCCGCATTTCGATTTAGCTTTGGCTGCAGGAGGAAAAGACAAACAGCAAGACGTCAGGAAGGTAAGTTCCCAGATCACCGCACACTCATCCCACTCACTCTGAATGTGAAAATGAGTCCTTTTAGATTTATTTGCCTTGAAGGCCCCAAAGGTTTCTTACCACCACCACCCACCTCGAATACACAGCCAAATTGGACCCCCAAATGCACCATCCTCTAGGGAGGAGCTGGCTAATCCTGCTGCTGTTCAAAAGTCCCCAAGAGACTAGCACAGCCACTGCACGACAGCAGGTGCCAATCAACCATGAACAAAGGAACGAACAGAGGATGGGTGAGTAGATGGATGATGAGATCAATGAAGGTGCAGAAGAACCAATCAAAATTCATTCCCTGGATGTCAAAGCAACTGTAGTCGACATTCAGTGAGTGCTCACTGCACTACGTAATGTGCCAAGTGCTTTGCTTGGATTATTGCATTTAATCAACCCAGCGACCACCCAATAGGATGGTGTGTAGAATGAATTACTATAAAAGACCTGAAACTGCTCTCTTTACAAAGGTCTGCTTGCAGGGGTGGCTCCTGTTTGGCTTGAGCCTGGGAACTTGGATTTTGGGAGAGTTACTACGACCCTAACTGTTAAGAATAGCTCACTGTGCCTAAATTGTTTATACGAACAATGCTGTTTACGCTGATCCCCTGCTTTCCTTCTAGGAGTCTGGAATTTCGGTATGTGCTAGGCAGAGGCTGCCTACAAGGTGGTTCTTATCATCACTTCATAGATGCACTTTGAAAGGTGAAGTGACTTGCCCAAGGTCACGCTGCTAGAAGGTCGTGTGCTGGGTAGAGGCCTGGGGCACTCGGACTACCGAAGCCCTGATTTCAAGCTACTCAAGAGCACCACCTCTCTGCCAAAGGCTGTCGCTATTCACAACAGAAGCCAGACTCCTGCTCCAAAGAAATTCTTCTTCCACTCCTGCTGTACAAACAGTTTTAGCAGAAACTGCTGTAACTCGGGCTTGATTGAGTATCCTGCTAAACCAAACAGCCCTGTGGGGTAATGTACTTTCCTGTTAATGGCACTAGCGCCCTGGCGTGCGATCAGGAGCTACAAGATGGGATCTATTGCTACATCCCAGGTAGCAGGCCCTACCTAATACCCCACTCGTCTCCTGTCTCAGAGGCCAAGAAGAAAGGGCCATTTCTTTGGAACAAACAGGCAGTCAATCACCCCGATGTTCCTGCCATCTGTAACGTGCTCACTTTGGCAGCAGCCAATTCACAGTCAACGGGGGTTTTAAGGCCTGGGACATGCCAGGTTTTAAAATCCCGCATGGCTTTGTTTCAACCTGCAACATCTGTCATGGTGCTGATGTGCTCTTCTCAAAGCACAAACTCAGGACAGTCCAGGGTTCATATTCTGGCCCTATTTTTTATGACTTTGGGCAAGTTTCTAAATATTGCTGAACTTTAGTTTCTTCATCAGAAAATTGGAAGTGTATCTACTTCATGGGGCTCTAGTGAGGATTCAATGAGATAATCTCTATAAAACACTGAGCATGGTATACAGCAGTTGCTCAATTGATAGTAATGCCTATACTATATACCATCATCATTATCGTCATTACCACCACTAGGTTTATAGAATTTTAAAACTGATCCTTGGGATGCCAGAAATTTTTTTCTGATTACCAATGTTTAAAAAGTTCATTATAGAAGATCTCTATAAACCAATGTGATTTCCAAGAAATACTGTTAAGTGAAAAAAGCAAAATGCAAAAAACTATCCATAGTACTTTGCCCTCACTATAGTAAAAGAAGGTGATATAAGAAAAGATATATGTATGGGCTTATCTGTGCACAAGAAATACAGGAGGATACACCAGAAACTAAAGAGATTAGTTACCAACAGGAGGGTGGAACACGAATGGAAAAAATAAGGAACTAAGAACAGCGCAAATAAACAAGGATGAGAAGGGTGCACACCTCTCTGAGTGTATCAATTTGTACTGATATACCCAGTGTACCTATCTATCTCAGTGTATACTTATATGAATATACTCAGAGAAGTGTCTCTCTTAGAACCATGGTAATATTTCATATGCCCCCAAAATAAATGATTAAAATCAATCACATATGGGGGAAACTCAAAATGAAATATAAACAATAACAAATGAACATAACTGTATTACGAATGAATAAAACCACCACATGGAAGGGGGCGGGGAAGAAAAGAACCAGCCTAAGTAACTCTGGAAAACATTTTGACTGGATCCCATAAGGCTAAAGAAAAAAGAACTGTGCACAAATACTATACTCTAATTGTAGGTGTTTCTCATGGGGCTATAAGTTATAATTCTGAAACCATCTTTTATGTGTACTAAGGTTGAATAAATAAGTAAATATATTATAAATAATAAGAGCAAGATTTCTCACTGTCAGAGAAAGAAGATGCAAGTAAGGAAAGTGGGAAGGCTAAAATGAACCCTGAGGCTCTGGATTGGAATTGAGGGCAGCAGTATGAACTCAAGGTTTTAAAAAATTAGACAAACAGGATAGAGAGAAAGACAAAAAAATAACTACTGGTTTGTGTATCTGCATGGGTTAATGTGTCTATATATATTTCCTAGCTATGTCCGCCGAAAGGGACTAGAAGCAGGGTTTTTTTTTAATTAAACTTTTTATTTGGGATCGTTGTAGATTCACATGCAATTGTAAGAAATAATTCCCAGAACATTTAAGAACTACAAGCTCATCATTATAAATCATTGTACGGTGTTGTGCCAGGGGTCCCCAAGGCCACTGGGGTTCAGCGACTCACTAGGAGAATTCACAGGACTCAGCATGCAGTCGATTCATTACAGCAAAAGGCTACAAAGCAAAATCAGCGAGAGACAAGGCACACGAGGTGAAGTCTGAATGACACCAGGCATAAGCGTCCCAGAGTCCTCTTCCAGTGGAGTCACACGGGTCAGGCCTAATTCCCCCAGCAACAAGTTGTGACAATATGTGTCGAAAGTCGTCTACCTGGGAAGCTCACTAGAGACTCAGCGCCCAGGGCTTTCATCAGGGGCTGGTCAGGCAGGCATTGCCGGTGCACCGAATTTCCAGACTCCCAGGGGAAATGCAGGATGAAGCACACTGTTTGCACAACCAGTTTAGGCACAGTGAGCCGCTCCTATCAGTTAGGGTAGTGGTGCCTCCCTAGAATCCAAGCGCCCAGATGCCAGCCAAGGGCCAACCTTGCAAGCAGACTTTGCAGAGGGCAGCAGTCAGGCTATTGTGTCCTTCCAGCCACGTTCAAGCTTCTAACCCACAGTCCAGTCCTTGCTCAGCCTGCCTCGCTCTGGTCACCATTTGAAGGATCAGAGAAGAAAGAATGCCTGCCTGTCATGGCTGACATCTAAGCTGAGAGCATTTCCTCATCACACCGCCACTCAGAACATCGCTGCCTTCTCATCCCCTTCCAGTAAAGCCTGGAGTCCCCGCCATGGCATTACGGGGCTCTCCAATTCCATGGGGTCCCACTCATCAAGCTCTGGCCACCCAGGACTCCTCAAGCCCATCCGACATATCCCTGCCTCAGGGCCTTTGCACTGTCCGCTCCCTCTGCCTGGAATGCCGTTCTCCCAGGGCTCAGCGGGCTCACAGGTGCATTTTATTTAGTCTCTTTAACCAAGGCACTGTCTGCAGTACAACCTCCATTCCCACCTTCAGTCACCCTAACCTTCCCATCACAGGACATATCACTGCCTGCTGTCACTGGCTTTGTGTTGTCCCTGCCTCCCCGTCCCCTAGAACATATACTTGTTTGAATACAGTCACTTGCCATTTTTAAAGGGAATGCACAATACAGTGCCTATAACAGGTGCCTAATAAATTTTTGCTGAATATACAAATGAACTTATAAAAGGAAAGAGTGGGATTGGAAAATAACAGCTAGCATTTACCCAGAGCTCAGCACCGGTTAAGCATTGTGCTCTGTTTTACGGGATATCATCTCATTTAGTCCTCGCAAAAGCCCACTTTACAGGTAAGAAAACTGAGGTCCACAAGTGACATAACTTGGCATTGCCAAGTAAACAAGAGTCGAGGCTCAAACTTTGCTCTTAACCCATCTGGTCCACTGCCTCCTTAGATCCCTCTAAGGCCCAGCTCAGCTCCAGGGGACCAGGCTTGGTGCAACAAAGAGAAAAGAGAGTGAGACTATGAATAATTATGAACGGATTAACTGTCATTCAACTTTGGCCAGGCCCATGTACCCTCTTCCTAATGAGACTCCCTGCCTCGTTGGCGATGCTCAGCCGCTGCTGTGTCACAGGGAGCCCGTCTGGTTATGACTTACATTTGCATTGTCACACACACACCGAGCAGGCGCCCCCCATGGCGGATCACAGGCTGCCAGCCGAGCACCCAGCGGGCAGAGGGAGGGGAGTGGCTGGCAACAGCTGTCAGCTGCTCCCTGCCCTTGCAACTGCCTCGGCTCAGGGCTCAGCGGGAGTCCCCGGCAAGGTCTGGATTGTCCACCCCCCCACCCCAACTTCCAAGAAGGGGAGACTCCAGCATGAAACCCTGGCAGAAGGTGGAAGGCTGATCCTGCCTGTTTTCAAAGGCGGACAGGGTGACTCGATTCCACTGACAAAGGCGGACAGGGTGACTCAACTCGATTCCATCGAATACTTGAACTCGACACTTTTCAAGGATTTGCTCCTCAAACTTTTCAAAGCGCCAGCTGTCGTTGGCAGAAGGACGGGACCAGGGCTCTCCTGGGGGTGGGTTTATTTCCTGATCTGAGTCCTGCCCCTCCTCAGAGGCTACTTGTCACAGTTCTGGATCTCACAGACCAGTAAAATAATAAATAACAAACGAGATGGAAGTGGAGGGAAGAATAACACAGTTGTCAACTTTTTTTAGCTTTCCAGCAAGGACATGAACAAATCCGCAATAACCTCCACTCACTGCTGCCCTAAATAAAAGGCTGCTTTAGCACCCAAAATGCAGGAAGGCATAGTGTCGGGGTAAAGAA